GAAAATGGGAACGCAACCCACATTAGTTCTATTCAATATCTACATAAGGAGACAATATGTGAAACTATCAAGCAAAGTCCTAACCATAATAGCAGACATTTGGTACTAGTAGTAAATCAGAATTCTAGGGATGAGTTACTTCAAAATCCCAGCTACCTGCCAGAGGCAACTGCTATTTTGGGAACTTCTGTTCCACATCCAGCACTGGACTAGCTCATTTACCCTTTGTCTTTTTTTTTAATATTTATTTTTTAGCTTTAGGTGGACACAATATTTTTATTTTACATTTATGTGGTGCTGAGGATCGAACCCAGTGCCTTGTGAATGCTAGGCAAGTACTCTACCACTGAGCCACAACCCCAGCCCTTACCCTTTGTTTCTAATTTTGCAAGATATTTAGTATTCCTGTCTTATTGGAAGAAACAGGCTCAATGAGGTAAAGAAACAAGCCTAAGGTCACACAACTGGTAAGCAGGGGAGTCAGGATGAGAATTCAGTTCTGGCCAACTCCTAAGCTCTAGCACCTTTCATACCACCATACCACCACTGTTGACTAGGAAAAAGTTACAGGAAGGAAGTTTTAAGAAGTATTTGTTTGGTGGGGATGAATTTAAATTTGTAACCTAATTCTATTTCCATGTAAATTCTAGTGAGAGGAGCAAACAGTAGGCAGCACCAAAGGGAAATGAGAGGACCAATCTCAGGCCAGCTCTGCTGGTTCCCTAGTCCTCAGCCTTGCCCAGTGGGACCCCCGGGTCCATTCACTTTTACTTTCATTTTCTAGCCATCATGACTTTCACTCACGTTCCCAGGAAATTAATGGCATGCAGACATCAGGAAACTCTTGGGCCCTGAAGGGTACTGGCTTGGGACTCCTAACAGTCATACCCTCCAGAGGCAGAGCAGAAGAGGTTCAAGAAAGAGGACAGGAGGATGGAATAAAAGTAGGGGAGGAAAATGGAAGCAAATGAAGAATGCCAGTGATGAGGAAGGCTAAAGGTAAAGAGTATGCACTTGTGCCCCTGCTTGCTCACCCTGCGTGTTCATTCATTTAACAAGCAGACCAGATGGGAAGAGGGCCTGCTATTAGCAAAGATGGGGTCAGATATGATCCCAAGCCCTGGCCCAACCACTTCTAACTATACAGTCTAGGCAAACTGCTTAAGTTCCTTGAGCATCATTTCTAAGGTGAGGACACTCACACACACCCCTATCTCGAGGTCACTCAGGAGCAATGTATGTGAAAAGAACTCTGTAATTTTACAATAATTTATAAATATTAGTTGTTACAGTCCCCCTATAAGCAAACACAAAGGTAGAAAAAGGCCAACTAGATGTGAGAGGCAAGAGGGGAAGAGAGAAGCAGCCTCAGAAAGGAGGGAGGGGCTTCTATCCCACCAGAGCCTGTCTCCTCCTACACAACAGTGTCAGATCTATTGGGATTCTACAAGTTCTGAATGCCAGAGGCAGCTGCATAACCACCCAGAGCTCTAGTCTCTCTCAAAGGGAGAGTTTCTCCTTCTAAAACCTGTTTCAGAGTCTGAGGACTCTTGAAGAGCTCCATTCCTGATGAGGTAAGTTTAGCAGAGTCTCTCTGCCCCTCTCTCTCAGAGGCACATGCTGACTAGATCAGAGAAACTAGGCTGATGGAGGGAGTCTCTAGTGAGGCCACAAGGATATAGAGATTGTAACTCAACTATTGACCCTAATAAGAAATGGTTTGTCTAGTAAAAAGAAAAATAAGTGCATCACAGGTCAAGCTCCAAATATTATAAGAATTAGACATTTGCAACTAGCCAGAAATAGTCAAAAAGGTCAAGGAAAAAACTTTAGCTTTTTAAGTAGTATCCAAGGATGGTTAAGGCAGCTACTGACAAGCTACAGCGATTCCTAAGGATTGACTGGCTTTCCTTTCCTTCCTCCACTGTAAATAGCAAGGGTCAGGCATGGCTTCAGAGTAAGGCTACCCCTCATTAAGGTATTCTGGTCTGTACTTTGGTCATGTAAGAAACTTACAGCTTGGTTTGAGACACAGTCAATTCACACACAGGATCATATAGCAATACGATACATAGTTGGGGGAATCAGCAGTTTCTAGCATATATGAGAAGTCCTTTGGCTACAAAAAATTGGTGCATTAAGAGTCTAAAGCTGCCACTGTCATTTCAACTTACTCCTCTGTAATAAGTCCAAGCCCAAAAGGGATTAGAGAGAGACTTTGGTGTGGCACAGACCTGTTGCACTGAGTAGTCTATGTGTGTTGGGGGGAGGTGAGAATGGCAAAGAGATGGACCCTCAATTCCAGACTCCTCATGTTTAGTCTCTTGCCTATAGATCAGCAGACAGCAGTCCCAGGAGGAGCAGTCCCTCTGAGGCAGCTTGGAAACCACTCACATGCTCTGGGAAGACAGGGCTGAGCCTGGAGCAAGGAGGTAGGAGGAAGGGAGAGAGAAGATAATGAATGGGCAGATCCACCCTGATCTGTGATCTGTACTAGGATTGAGCAAAGCTCAGCTAAATTCTTCAGAGGCAGGAAAAGAGAGAGAAATACCCAGAGAACAACATAACCAGAGGACAGGGCTGGGGGCCCAGGGAGTAAAATCAGAAGACAGTTCATTCCTAATTAGTGACCCAGAATTCAAACTCTGCTGAGGTCCTGGTTGGCTCACTCTGGCTTGAGGAAGGAAGGAGCAGTGGGAACGCAACATACTTCTGTGAGTGTGGACCGGTCTCACTCAGACCACCCCTCCACACCCCACCCCACCCCAGCCGCCTAAAGGAAATCAAGATAAAATTCTTCCAGGGCTGAGACAACTGTTCTTTGGGGGTTGGCGGGGAAAGAAAACGACGACAGACAGCACTTTCTGCTGCCTCTAAAAGAGAAGGGAGACAGGTTCCTTCATATCTGGCAAGGACCCTCCAGTTTTCGGAGCAGGGGGAGCGGAACTTAAGGTCCCTCTCTCCCATAACTGAACTGGACAGGCCAGAGGAGAACCGCAAAGATTTCCCTAAGGCCCACGCGAAGGACAGGTAAGCGAAGTAAAGAAGGGCTCCCCTTTTGGCCCGACGCCTGGAGAGCCCCTTAAGAGGGGGCTACGGGTCGGGGGAGGGGTCAGTATCCCCTTAAGCTGGGGTTGGGCGGGAGGAAGCGGTGCCCGGGAGAGGCTTCAACGCGGGTGAGACAATAGTTCTGGGACAGGCACACTCACCGCGGCTCCGGGGCGGCGGCGTTACTTGGGGCCGGGGCTCGGACAGACTCCGCTCCTCTCCCCCCCGGCGGTGTCCCAGGCTCCGGCCTCCACTTCCGCCTTTCAGCCGCTCCGGATCCGGATCTCCACCTCCGCCCCGCCCCTCCATGCTCTCAAGTGACTGACAGGGCGGGGAGACCAATGGGAGGCACTCATGGCCGACCCACAGGCGACGCGGGAGGGGGCCGCGGGAGAGGAGGGAGGGCGAGCGCGAGAGGTGGCGGGACTTGTAGTTTGCGGCGCTGGGAGAAGCCGGTGGCTGCCTGGGACCTAGGCTTAGGGTGTATTCCGCTGCCGGCGGGGCGGAGTCAGACCAGGCCTGTTAACCGGTTCCAGGCACCCAGAGGGAAGGCGGATGGTGGAGCACTGGAAGAGGACAGATGGAAAGGAGAAACATGCTATGAATGAAAATGTACAAGAGGCCTCGTGTACCAGCCCTATGCACTCACTAATCCGGAGAAACCCCTGTTCGTACTTTGCAGTCAAGTCAGCTCTAGGAATCCGATTTTGGAACATTCAGTGACTGGAATGACGATGGAAGTTTATAGGAAAAGTTTTCTGGAAAATACTAGGTGAGATCAAAGAGAGAGCTTCTGCCACCTCGCAGGCATAAAAACCTCCTACTTTGGCCCAGCTTAGCTTCCGATCACAGATCACACTAGGATTCCTGCCTCTCCCCACGCCCAATCAGAACCAGCTCTTCTCTGATGCCAAATACAAAGAAACAGACAACATTTGCCCCTGCACTCTCCATCCATTAATATGGACTAGAACCCATCTCCCCTACCCCATATAGATCAGGACTATTTCTACTTCTTCTGCTCCCCTCAATACAGATTAGGACCATTTCAGCTTCTGTTCACTCCCTCCCTCCCAACATAGGCCAGTGCCTCCTCTGCTTCTGCATTTCATCAGGGACATTACTCAAAATCTGTTTGGAACCAAAGCCCACCCGAGACACGGTGGCCATTGTGTCTATGACCCTAGCTAAAACAGTCATACTCTGGAGCCTGAGCTGGAGAATGGAACTAGGACAACCCCCCACAAGTTTGTGCCCACACCTTGTTCCATCTGAGTGTCTTGGGTTTTGTTTGTTTTTTTTGTTTTTTGATTATTTTTTTTTTTTACACAAATGGAGCACAACTTTTCATTTCTCTGGTTGTACATGATGTAGAGTCACACCATTCATGCAGTCATACCTGTATATAGGGTAATAATGTCCATCTCATTCCACTATCTCCCTCGCATCTTGTTTTTTTATAACATCCATAACCTGCCCCCCTCAACAGTGATCATCAGAGAAGTGAAAGCTGAGAGAAAAGAGAGGGCTTAGGAGGGAAGAGGAGATGAGGCTGAGTGGATTCCTAGCAGGTTGGGGCTCTTCCCCTGCCCTGCAATAATAGTTCCTTATACAGGAGAGGTAGGTAGTCCTCTGAGCCTACTTTTCCAAGGCTGGCAGTGGGCCTGACCCAGGACTGTCCCTCCCATATACTGTGTGTTTATTTGTGACTGTGACTGGGTGGTGGGAAGGAGAGTGTATAGCAGGCCCTTAGGGACTCATTAAGGTTTCTCCCTCATCCCTGGGGATCCCTGGTGGCGTGAATGTGGTGCCAAGTGGATTGGCTGGCGCCTTTGCCCTTCCTAGAGACAGCAACAGGCCCCCGGGGTATGGTGAGGAGTGACTGTTGGATTGGTTCCTCCAAAGCCCTGGGGCTCTCGGACCAACCCCCAGAAACAGCCAGAGCCAACAACTACAAAAATAAAAGAGTTTATTTCCTATCCAAAAGTGAGCCCAGGGTGCTGGGTGGGAAAGGAAAGCTGGAGACCAGGGCAGGTTTTTGAGAAGTCCAGGTCCTGAATGAGACCAGGTGGATATGGGGAAGAACAGGCTTGGCTGGAGTCTGGGGTTGGGGGCAGGATAGGGAGTGATTCTGGGAATGTTTTGAATTGCTGGCAGCAGAAGAGACCACCTTGAGTGACAGCCTGTAGAGAGACAGAAACAAATGTTGACAGACCCAATCCCAGGGGGAGAAACAGACATTACTGGGCCCCCCAAACACCCAAAGGGCACAAGACTTGGGAACCTACTTTAAGGTAGGGATTGCAAACTCCAATCACACACAGAGACCAGACAAAGAATCCAAACAAGAGAAGCTAACTAGGTATCAGGAGATGATCAAGAAATGTGGGAACTGCTATAAACCTAGCTACTTAGGAGGCTGGGGCAGGAGGATTACAAGTTTGAGGACAGCCTCTGTAACTTAGCCAGGCCCTGTCTCAAAATAAAATAGAAAGGGTGGGAATATAGTTTATGGTAAAGCACCTCTGCATTTAATTCTCAGTATAGGAAAAAAAGAAAAAGAAATGTGGAGCCACAAAGAAATGGGGACTTTAGATCCCATCTAGAGAGAACAGCTGTACCAAACACCAGGTGATTACTGATTATTGACAGATAGATGTTGGCAAAATGTGGCCAGATGTCCTACATTTTTTTTAGAGAAGCTGGAGTACTAGATTTTCATGTGATTCTGTCTTGATTTTTAATGTTGGCAGCTAATTTGTATTTTTGAAAAAACAAAACAAAACAAAAAACCTCTGAGAGCCAAAGAATACATTTCTGGTGGTATCAGTTGGTTTCCTGTGTGTGCTATGGGATGAGGTGGGCCCCTCCAGTCTAGGCTGACAGTGGGAGGTTTAAAGTGTCCTGGGTTGCTTAAATACCAACCAGAATCTGAAACCTAACCCTCTCAAAGTGACACTGCTCTCAGGGTCTCCAGCAAAGGATCCAGGAACTGGGACAGAGACCTCACAGGATCACTGAGCTGTGTCCCAAATGGAGTTCTACTATCTGTCTCTCTTGCTGAGTCCTGAACTCGCCTCAGCCTTCGTTTCCCAGATTGGATCTGGGGCCCCTACCCATCCCCACTGCTCCCCAATCTCTACCTGCCTCCAAGTCCTGGAGAGAAAATAGGACATCTCATCTGCCCAGCCCAAAGGCACCACAGTCCATCTCATGCCTGCTGGATTCCACGGCCTCAGGTGGCTCCCCTCACAGAGAAAGATGAGGGAAGATTTGGAAAAGGGAACAGGGTCGAGGTGACCACGCTTTGTTAAAAAGTCCAGAGAATCCAGAGCCAACCAGACCAGCTGGTGGCTGCTGACCCCGAGGCAGGAGGCCAAGGGGCCCAGCTCCTCCCTGGATAGCAGGCAGCAATGCCCACCCCAGACAGGCCTGGGCCTGGGGCCGGGGTCAGTGGAATGTGTCTGACCTAGACTGGTAGCTTTGCCTCAGAAGGCTTGGGGTAGGGGGTGAAGCTTCTGGCGTTGGGGAGGGTCCCAGAGGGTCAGGCTCTGAAGGATAGGGGGCCAACATGGAAGGTCTCAGGTCCATCTCCTCTGTTCCCACACTGGCCGGGCAGTGGACCTCAGCAAGCGTAGTATCCTGGAGGTTGGGTGGTGGTCCAGACACACAAGGAGAGATGTGTGGTGGTCTCTGCTGGGGATAAGGAGGGCACGGGGGCCAAGCTGAGACTGCTGGGTGGCCTGGGGGACCCAGCCTGGCCTGCAGCAGGCCCATCACATGCCGCAGCTCCTGGCTCAGCTGAGACACTTCCTGGTTGAGGCGGGAGATCTGTTGAAAACACAGCAAGTTGTTTCACAGGTGCTACAACAATAACCAGACACACCTCCCCTCCCCCTACAGTTTGCAAAGCTCTTCAATAAAAGATCAGGCCACCCTGGGAAGAAAGCAGGGAAGGGGTATTTTTGGACTAGAGGTAAATAACTCAGGCTCTTTCCAAAAAGGATTTTGGGCAGCAGACACTGCGATATTATCCCCTCTCCCTTGCTTTTACAAGATGTAGAAAAATGTGCTCAAAGAGACCCATGTAGCTGTGAAGCAATAGACACATCAAGTGAACCCATCACACGAGCTCAAGTGTTTACATCAATGCTTTTCAAAGTAATGAGTGCAGAATCAATTGAGAAACTTATCAAAATGCAGATTTCTGGGCCTCGCCCTAGACAGCCCAAATTGGGTACGGCCCAGGAATCTGCATTTTAACAGGTGGTTCTGAGAGATACTCAGGTTTGGGAACCACTTGCCTAGAACCTTACAAAACAGGGGCTGGCCTCACTCAGGGCCCAGGACCCGCCCCAGCCCAGGCTCCACCCTCTGGAGTGCCTGCTGTTTGTCAGAGCCCAGGGAGAAGGAGTCCCAAGGGCTGGGTCTGTTCACTCTGTCCTGACAGCACTGCAATCTCTTGGGGAGGAGGTAGAGGTAACACCTTGACATAGAGGATCTGGGCTCTTCCCTGTCAGGACTCAGTCATCTAGGCCCAGATCCTCAGGCCTGAAGACCTCTCAGCCTCCCTGTTCTCTGGCCCCAACATACACAGCTGCTAGACCCTCATTTCCCAGAGTTGGGTAAGGGAAAAGGACTTGAGTATCAGATTTAGTTGGATGGCCCCAGGCAGGAGAGAGTCCCGTGGGGGCCAGGGAAGTTGGAGAAGAGGTCCTTTTTCTTTGCAGGCTGGAAACCCTGAGCTAGTTGGAGGGGTCACCAACTGTTACTGAATATCTGTGATGAGCCAGGGACTAGACCAGGCACATATGCACTCTCATCCTTACAACTCTGGGAAAAACATGTTATTATTTTTCCCATTTTTTAGGTGAGGAAAATGAAGTTCAGAGTGGTTATGTGATTCGCCCAAAGTCATCCAGCTAATGTGACTTTCTGAACTCCAGAGCCAGACTTGCTTTCCAATTCAAGGTTGGAGGGGGAAAGCCAGCCCCAACCCACCTCCTGGTTCAGCCTGCAGACCTTTTCCTTCACCTCCTCAGCCTCAGTGGCCAATTCCCGGCTGGGTCTGGTACCTGCAGAATGAGGTGAGGGAATGCAGGCAAGTTCATGAAGCATGAATATCTGAACATACAGCTTGGGTTAGACCCCTCTGTCACCAGGCAGGCAGGGAACAAGAAAGAGAGAGTTCTGGGGTCAGGGAGCTGACCCTAAATTCCTTAGGCTGGTCGTAAGGCCCTGTAATTTCTCCCACCCTCCCCTGCTCTTCCATGCCTGATCCCACCCCCAGTTCTACACATGGAGCTTCTCTCTGTCATCTGAACAAAACAGCCCTCCAGTTTGCCTGCCTTCATGTCTTTTAACAGTTATGCTGTTCCACCAAAGTCCTACCCACCCTTTAAGAAGCAACTCAAGTGTCCCCTCGTCTCCTATTATACAGTCCTGTTCTTGTCTCAATCACGGAATTTAGCACCTAGTTCTAGAATTGTTTATCTATGTACACTGGTGTCTTCCCACTAGAAAGGGAGCTTCACAAGAGCAAGGGCTCAGTCTGGTTTATACGTGTGTTCCCAGGTGGCGCCTGACACAAGGTCCATGCCTACTGCATGTGGATGGATGGAGGGATGAAAGGATAAATGGATGGGTGAATGTGAGCTGAAGTGACTGCTGCCCCTTACCTGTAGAGGGGGCCTGCAAGCGGGGCCTTGGGGGCTCAGCCCTCCTGCTGAACCGGAATGTAGGGGCCTCAGCTGTGCTGCCAGAGTCCTCAATGCCATCCACTACCCTGAGGATGGGGCAGTACTCATCAGCCCCGTGGGGAAGGCACAAGGGCCAAAACAAAGCAGGCGGAGAGCGAACGGGGCAGCAGAACCGGGGAGCTGGGAAGAGCAGTGGTCAAAGCAGGATGGGGCTGTAAGCTGTAGTTGAAAGGGTAGGGTGGGCCAATGGGGCAGAGATAGGAAGGAGCACTGGTTGGAATGCTAGGGATGGAGGCCATAGAAGGTTCTGGAAGCCATCAGGGATATGGGAAAGGCAGGGAAGGCTGGCATCTCACCGGGGACTGAGGTCCGGAGGTCCAACGGTTCCCAGTGGGGGAATGAGAAGCTGGGGAGGCTTCCAGGCAGTAGTGCACCTGGGGGGGGCATGGGGGGGGGGGCTCTGGCCCCGGCCAGCCAGGGCAGGGGAAGTTGATGGGGACAGGGAAGGAGAGGAGACAAGGGCTGAGAAGGGGGGCAGCTCTTCACCCAAAAGGCTGACCAAAGAGCCCCGGGGCCGGGCTGGGCTGAGATTGGGCAGCAGGAGAGGCCGTCGGGGTCTGGGACCACCCCCAGACTCCGTGCCACCCTCAGCTTCTGTGATAGATGGTAGAGTCTTGTCTGAGGAGGAGCCAAGACTGTCCGAACGAGGCTATGGACAGAGGGTGCAGCCAATGTCACAAGAAGGTGAACAACGGACCCCTTGACTAGGTGGTCACAGCCTTTTCACTACCACATGCTGCCCCCCCTTCCCTTTCCCTTCTCCCTGCATCAGAGAAGCCAAGGGAAGGAGGCCTCACTCCCCACCTCTTCCCAGAGCAACCTCACCCCCACCCAGGAAGGAGGGTGTTACCTGGGAGAGGCGAGGGGATCGGGAAAAACGGCTAAGACCCTGTGGGGACATGGGGGGGATTCAAGTTAACTCCCACTTCCCCAGTTCCCTAGTGCAGCCCCTCCTAGTCCCACCCAACAGTGTTAAGGGGTTGAGAACTGTGGGGTCTTTTTGTGGAATCGAGTCAGACACCACAAACTCTGACTTGGAGGAATCCTAAGTAGCAAAGGGAGACTGAGAAGTAGCAGACAAAAGCCCCTACCAAAGGTTGGGGCTGGGGATATAGCTCAGTTGATAGAGTGCTTGCCTCACCAGGCCCTGGGTTCAATGCCCAACACCACCACCAGGAAAAAAAAAAAAGCCTAGGGTATAAAATCCAGGCCAACCCAGCCTGAAACAAAGTAGGCTCAGGAGACATTGGGACAACAATGGAGAAGAAGAGGCCTCAGGGTGGTGGCAATTCAGGGAGGGATATGAAGGAGAGGCACTGTGGAGGACTGAAGTAGTGTGGGTTGAGGCCGAGGGGTGCTCAACAGACATGGGCAGCAGAGATGGTCCAAGGGCTGGTGATGGCCAATGCAGCAGTGGGTTGGAAGATATTAAGCAGGTAAAGAAGGTGCCTGATGTTGAGAAATGACATTTTCAGGGTAGAAGGAGATGCCTGAGCCTCTCTGAGGCTGAGGGAGATCTGCTTTGAAGGAAGGGAACTTGGAGTGGGTGGAGGCCATAAGAGTTCTACATACATTGGTGTCAGAACCCTGGCGCAAGTTGAAGGTAAGGTCCCGGGGCAGGCCAGCCCGGAAGGCAGCCCCGTACTCAGGATACAGCCGCAGGACCTCAGCCAGCCCTCGGCTGCTCAGCTGCTGCAGGCCACAGTAGGTCAGAGCTTTCACGTCAGCGCTGGTCTTCAGCACACAGCTTGGGCCTGCTCCCGACCCAGTCTCCTGCCCAGGCTCAGGGATATCTGCCCCAATCAGGTCCCCCTTCCCTGTGAGTAAAGGATGGGGACAGTCAGCTGGGGCAAAGGAACTAATAGGATATCAGTGGGAGGTAGTCAATGGGTTAGAGATGCTCAGTGCATTTGAAGGATGGTCGAAGGTGGGTCAATCAAGAGGACTGGTGAATATAATCAATGGAACTGAGAAAAGGTTGAATGAAGAATGACTGGTGAGGTTGGGAGAAAAATCTATGGGGATGTGAGCTGGAGGAATGATCAATAGAATTAGGTGATCAATGAAGAATGACCAGAGAGGTCAGTTAAAAGGAAAGGTCAATGGAGTTTTGGGCCAACAGGGAAGGGGCAATGGAATTGGGAAATGGTACAATGGTAAAGGATTGATTGACTTGAGGGACAGTCATTGGAGAAAGATGGATAGGTTGAGGGACAGCCAAAGGCATTAGGAGAGAGTGGGAGGGGAATGGTCAAGAGGGACGGTAATAGGGTGAAAAGACCCAGTGTGCTCCTCAACTGCATTCCAGATATCCATTAGAAGCATCCCATTACCTAGACTCCTGGCCATCCCCAAGCCCTGTGGAAAGTTCCATGGTAGGTGGTGGGTGATGAGGGGTCCTCACCCAGGATGGCCAGCACCATGTTGTCTCGGAGCACCTCCAGCGAGCCGGAGCAGACGTAATAGTGTGCCTGCAGCGCATCCCCACAGCGCAGCAGGTACTCGCCCGGAGCACAAAACGAGGTCTTGATGTGCAGGGAGAGGGCCCGCAGGCAGCCCCTGCTTGCTGCTCCAAATAGCGGTAGCTGCAGGATCTCCCGATTCAGGTGCATAGCAATGTCAGCTCTCAGCTCGTCTGGGAAGTCACGCAGTAACTGCATAAGGGGCATAGGTCATTCTGGCCATCCCCCTGCAACTATTACTTGAGTCTACAAATGTGTTACACTGTCTTCAAGGCAAGGGTGCTAATTTGCCCTTGCTTTGAAGTCACCCATTAGAGATCTTCAGGAGATTTTCGTGTGTCTAACCTCACAGGTGCTTGCTGATGACCTTCCAACCTCACTTCTGGGACAGAAACCAGGCTTTATCCCTTTTGTCCATTGCATATGGCTACCTACACACATTGGTCCCTCATGTGTCTTGGTTACTGAACCCTACAAAGTCAAGAGCCATCCATGGTAGGAATGGCTTCAACTGGAGTCAGGAGACTGAGTCAACTTTGCTCTTAAATCCCTGAGGACTTTGGTCAATCGATTTCCTCTCTCTAGGCCTCAGTATCCCCATCTGTAAAAGGATGATGCTAGATCTTGAACATTACCAATGATCTCCCAGGGCCAAACTTACTGTCTATATTTTTGTCCTCATATTATTGCCCCTTGGCCACTCTGGTTTATTGACCTTTCCCTCTTGTCTCCTCTGGGTCCTTGAAGGACTCCCTCCCATTTCTCTTTCCATCTCTCTGGCTGCCCCTTCCTTGTTTCCTCCCAGACTCCTTGCTTGGCTCATCCCTCAGCTTGCTTCTCACTTGCCAAGATCTCCCTGCATCATGGCAACCAGCTCCTGGCTTCCCCTATACCTGTGAGTCCTGAGCCCCAACATGGGGTCCAGACCTATATTTCCAACTACTCTCTGGGCAACCTCCACCTGGATCTCCCACAGGCACCACACCCTCTTCGTGGCCTAAGCCTGGACTCTCACCCTCACTCCTAAGCTCAGTCTTCCTCCTGTAAAGCCTCCATCTCACCCTTCTGTCCAAGCCAGACAACTGGGAGTCACTGTGAGTTCCTTTTCTGCAACCATCTGGAAACCACCCAGTCCTAGGGATCCTTCCCTCAGAAGTATCATACCAACTAATTCCCTTCTTCGTCCCCGTGCCATGTCCAGCCTAAAGATTCAGCAGGATAAAATTTAAACTCAAAGCCATCCATGCGCTGAGGCTACAGCCTCCCCAGTCCCAGCTGACACTCCTTCCCGCCTCGCCCCCACAGCATTCGCACACTCCTGAAACCTCTCTCAACTACTTGCAGTTCCCTGAAGGAACAAACTCTGCTCTTTCACCAACGCTTCCTGCTCTGTGTTCCCATTTTCTTTTCTTTTTCTTTTTTTGCCTGGAATGGCCTTCCTGTTAGAAGGCTGATTTCCTTCTTGTTCTTTATGATGTCCCCTCTCCTGGGCTACCTTCCTTACTCTGGGCCCAGACCCAACAAGGGCCCTACTGCACCAACATCCTCCTGCATAGTACTAGCCACAGCCTGGTTTTCTGTTTACCCATCTCCCTCTGCCACCATTCTAAGGACAGGGGCTGGATGTAATCATCTCTAACCTCCCTACTTCCTGCACTGAGGTCCCAGAGCAGGTGCTCAGGAAACATGGTCTGAGTGGAGAATGGCATTAGTGCAATCCAAAGCTCCCTTTTGGCTCCCATATTCAAGTGCAAGGGAAAAAGGATTTGGACTTAGTTTGGGTGCAGTGCCTTTGGGAAGAGCACTCCCCTCCCTGGGCCTTATCTGCCTCCATTCCAAACCTGGAGAGGCAGTGGCCCAGTTCCCCCTGCACTGCCACATGTAGGACCTGGGCTGAGACCGGGAACCCCAGCTGTACTACCTCATTGGCGTCGATGCCACTGTTGACCGCCCACGTGGTCTGGAAGTATTCAAGCATGCGCTGCTTGAGGGGGCGCGGCAGGCGGTGCACACGGATGAAGTCCTTGAGGTCCTTCATACGACTATGGTACAGTGAGCGGCGTGAGTACATGCGCTGGATGATGGCTGTCACGTTCCCGAACACTACGGCATGCATCAGCGCTGCGGCAGTGATAGGCAATGTGTCAGGGGCCGCCACCCCTGAGGTGCCCCCACCCCTGAGGTGCCCCCCCCCCCAGGTAGCCTCCCCATGCTCTCACACCCATCCTGCCCTGGAAGGGTCTGCGAGTCCAGGAGAGCAGCAGGCTCCCACATGCCCAGCTGGCATTGGATGCAGGAAATAGGGGGGTGGGTCACAGAGGCGTCAGACTGGAGGCTCCTCCATGATCCCCCCATTAAGTCATGAACTTGGGTTCCCCATTGGTTCAAAAGAGGCCACGGCTCTTTGTGGACTCAGTTGTGGGCACTGAGGAAACGTTAGTGAAATGAATACACCACGGTCAGGACTCGAGTGGACAGTTTGCTGTCCCTGGGCCTCAGTTTCCCCATGGGCACACAGGGCTTTGCAGGGACCCCAAGCATGGTGGGCTTGTGTTCTCACCACCAATGAGCATAGTGCAGATAGAGAAGATCTTCTCCGCGTCGGTGTTGGCGCACACGTTGCCGAAGCCCACGCTGGTGAGGCTGCTGAGCGTGAAGTAGAGCGCAGCGATGTAGGCGCTGCGCCGCGACGGGCCGCCCGCCGAGCCGTTCACGTAGGGCACCTCCAGCCGCTTGCCCAGCTCATGCAACCAGCCTGCGGGTGGAGGGAAGGAGGGAGGCCCGATGGCGTGAGCGGCAGAGAACCGAGTGTCCCTGAGCTGCCTGTGCTCGACCTTGGGCAAGTATTTACAGAGGCAGAGGAAAGCAGGGCCCGTTTTCGAGGGTTGCCACAGAAAATAAACAGAGCAGCCTATGCCCGGGCATCGCCAGGGTGAACTGGCTACAATCGCAGTTCAAGGCTACCACTCCCTACACTTCTGACTGTTCGGGTGCCCCTTCAACTCTTTTTGCTGTGTGCCTCCCTGCCGTGGTACAATCTAGAGGGGATAGAGAATTAAGTAAATCGTCACTGGTTTGCGGAGAGTTACTGAAGCATAGGCTGTGTTAATTAAGAATCATAACAGATGAGGGAGAGCCAACTCAGTCAGCAGTTGGGGGTGGGGATTCCTGAGGGTTACCTTAGGACAGGGCATTTTACTTGAGATTGCAAGGAACAGAAAACTCACCTAGGTGGAGAAGAGATGAGAGAGAAGAGAGGGCAGATCCCAGGGAGAAAAACATGTTCAAGGCCCAGAGAGAAAAGCAGTAAGTCTTAGGTCCAGGAGGGAGGCCAGAGTGGCTGCAGCCCAGAGAGCATGGGACACAGGGAGGGCCGTGGGAATAGGGGGTGCCGGGCTGTCCAGGGAGTGCAAAGGGTGTGGACTTCATTTAAGGGCAGTGGGAGCCACTGGAAGAGTCCAAGCCAAGGGTGTGGCAAGTCAGCATTGATTCTTGGGAGACCACTTTGGCTTAGTGAGAAGGGTAATTGAGAAGGGATAAGTTACCAGCAGGGAGATAGTAGGAGGCCATTGTAGAAGCCCAGGTAAGAGAGGGGGTGAGGGAAGGGGCAAAAAAGATGGAGAGAAGAGGCCAGACCCAAGGAATACTGAGAGGTAGTATCTGACATGGTGGGCCGGGTGTGGGGTGAAGGACAGGAGGTATCAAGGACAATTCCTCAAGATCTGACCTGCCCTCTAGGGGAACATTGAGGGCTAGCTCCTGGTCAGTGGCCTTTAAGCCTAGATAAAGAGGAAGTGATAGGGACAGGCCAAGCTCTTTCTGAATCTTTGCATATGCCACTTCCTTTGTCCAAAATACACTCCCCCACCATCAGAGTGTTTCCCACACTGTGTTTTGGTCACTTATCGCTGACTTACTTCCCTGCTATGCTGAGCTTCCTCGAAAGGCAGAGCCCTTGACTTTATTCCCATGCCTGATCCAGAAGGAGCTCACGGCATGTATGCTGAATGAATGGGGGATCGTGGTTTGGGGGGTGGTGAGTCCTGATGGTGAGTATCAGTTTGGGGATCAGGCGGGACAGGTAGGAAGTCTGGGGTTGGTGGCTCACCAATGTCCCAGAGCAGCGGGTCATTGGCCTCCATCTCCCGGCGCCCGATGACATACCAAACGCAGGCCATCCAGTGAGCAAGGAGTGCAAAGACGGACATAAGCAGCGTGAGCACCACAGCGCTGCACTGCGAGTACCGCTCCAGCTTCTGCAGCAGGCGCAGCAACCGCAGCAGCCGCACTGTCTTCAGCAGGTGCACCAGCGAGGTCTGCAGGGGTGAGGGTGGTGGCCCGGGGAGGATGTCAGCAGGCACGCCTCCTCAGAGCCCTCACATAGCCCTGGGTCCCCACCCAGGCCCTTCCTGCCAAACACCCTGGAGACAGGTGAGGCTGCAAAAAGAAAAGTATCCCTGGTGTCCGGAGAAAATAGCCAGGAAATGCAGTGGGGAAAGAGCATATTTAGCCCCCAGGTAAGGACTTCCTGTGTATGCCAGACCCTGTGCTATGCATCTGTCGTTCTCATAAAAAAAATGTGTGCTTTTGGTTTGATTATCATTGTTCCCAATTTGCTGATGAATAAACTAAGGCTCAGAGAGGCTAATGATTTGTTCAATGTCACAGACAGGAAAAAAGGAGCTGAGACTCAGATATTGGCTGACTGACAGCAAAGTGGGGTGGTTCAGGAGCCAGTCCGAATGATCTCTTCAAGAACCCTGCTCAAAGTTCCAGTGTCCTAGGCACCATCAACTGTGGGCAAGAGCTGTTTGTCACTGGTGGGCAACTGACACAGAGAAACATGGTGGGGAGGGAACAGGCAAGAAGTTTCAGGACTAGAAAAGGTTAGGGACCCTTCCCTCTGTGGATCAGCTGCAGATGACAAGGAGAGCAGGGATTGAGGGCTCCTGGGCTAAACTAGAGGTGGATGGAGCCAGTGGCTATTAGTCCGGGTCCTGTGAGCATTCACTAATACTACCCCAAGTGCTATTATTATTATTATTATTATTATTATTATTAAGCAGTATTGATGCTTGAACACAGGGCCTTGCTGTGCTAGGCGAGTGCTCTACCACTGAGCTATACCCCAACCCCCAGACTCCTATTTTCATTATAATAGTTATTACTTCAATTTACTCTTCCAATCTTGGAGATGGGAAGCAGGTGGGGGCTCATTTTGTGGGTGAGCGCAGCTTGGCAGCTGGAGCTGGAGGCTCTGGGATGTGATGTGAAGACCCCTACTGCCCTAGCAGGGGCCTCTCCAGGAGCGTTCCCCACAGCCCCGGCCCTACACTGCTCCTGGACCACCTCATGCCATTTTCTCTCATTTTAGGTGAAGGAACTGGAAAGGAGTTGGCCTTGTTTCTCCCGTGTGAGCCATGGGCTCTCCCCAGCCCCCAGAGTTCTTGGCTCCAAATTTGAGTCCTTTAGGGATTCTCCCAGTCACCTGCCCCGGGGGCCTCACACCTTTAAGAATCCTCCTCGGAATCTCTTCAAACTGGTATGTCCCTGGTTTAACTCTAAGTCTCTGGCTCTGTTGGTGCCTACACCTCCTCTATTTCCACTCTCTCTCTCTCTCTGGCCCCTCAGCATTGATTCTCATCTCCCCTAAACCACTCACTTAGGTACCCAGGTTACCTGGGAGGTGGGTATACCAGACTACTAGACTTGGAGTCTGAAGATCTGGTTCTAATCTCCTGCCTGCCACTGCTAACTGTGTGACCTCCAACAAATTGCTTAACCTTTCTGAGCCTCTTGTCAACACCTGGAGAAGACAGACAAGAGAACCTTTCCTGAAGAGTTACAGTGAATCTCTCATTTGATGATATGAGTGAAAGTAGTGAGCTCTAAAGTGTTCCCGAAGGTATCTGAGAAAGGAGGACTGCGTGAGAGAAGGGCAGAGGCTCCTGCAGCTCTGGCTCTCCCCTAAGGACAGCCATCTGCCAGGCTGACACTGCCTGGTGGGCACAGAGGGATGGATGCATGCCTGGGGATGGGTAGGGAAGCCCTGTTCAGAATGGCCGGAGCCTTGGGGAGACTTACACACACACACACACACACACACACACACACACACGTGTGTAGGAGCATGCACACACATGTGCACTGCCAGGAGAAGAGGCCCACAGCCCGTTGGCGGCTAGTTAAATCCGGCTGCGTGTAGGTGGTTTCCTGCTATAGCTGAGTGCAGCAGGGAGAACACAGGGAAGCTGCTCTCCACCTCCCCTCCCAACAGCCAAGGGGGGCCTAGGGACACAGGGTGGGACTGCCTCACCTGGATTCCAGGAGACCTACTATCTGCTGACCTGGTGTGTGCCAACCACTTAGGGCATCTCCAGGCAGTCCCAGGTGAGGACCCAGGTCCTGGAATGCTGGGTCTCCAAACCCACCCCATAGCCTCTACCTCCTGGGCTTGACTTACTGCACTCCCCCAACTGCTCTCTCTCCTCGTCTCCTGCCAGCCAAATCCTACTCACGGTTTAAGGCCTAGCTCTGCTCCCACCTCCCTCAGGAACCCTGCCTGCCCAGACCACCCCAGCCTCTGCCCAGTGGGTGCTCCTGCCTCCTGGGCACTGGCCAGCTTTCAGATCATGTTTGCACAGGGTCATGTTCCATCCTGGATCTCCAAGGTCAGTCCAGTTCCCATGCAGCAATACCCGGCCCCCATCTTCTACTCCCATTCACCCTCTTCTGTCCCTGATGTCCCCCTCACCTACACAGAGACTTGGAGACTAAATCCTTGTCCCTTTTCCCCACAGTGACCATGCCCCACATAGTGCTTTGCAGACAGCTAAATGCTCATCATTTGTTTGTTAAATAAAAAATGTGAAAAGTACCACTCATCTGGCATCAGACCAATGCCGCCTTGGTAGCCATAGTTAGCTTTTCATTTGTCTCAGCTTCCCTCAAAGATTGTGAGCTGAGCTCTCCAAAAGCACAGACCCTCTCAGATCCTTTCCAGTACCCAGCCCAGTACCTACAGCAGGTGGCTGATGAAAGTTTGCAGATGGGTTGATGGGAAGGAATACATCTGAGTTTGGGATTGATGCTTTATTGGGAGATTCCATGCAGAAGTTCAGAGGCTAGGGCACATGGTTGGATGGGGGTCACTCACCACGGTGATATTGAAGACATAAAGCAGGTCAAAGGGCAGAGCGGCGATAAGATCCACAAAGAACCAGGTGGCTAGGTAGTGGAGGCCAATGGAACGAGGAGCAGAGATCACCTGGCCGGATTGGGACACATAGGTGGTACGGAAGTTCAGGATGATATCTGAGGGAGCAAGAGGTTTTTACTAAGCAGCCTTGGCCTGCAAAAGCAGGCCAAAGGATCAAGGGGCTGGGGAAGATGGGAATGAACCTTGGAGAACCCAGTATGGAGGAGGAAGCAGGAATGGAGAAAGATTGGGCTCTGGCTGGTCCTTAGAAAGGTGAGGTCACAAGGCTGAAGGCTAACAGGGGCAAGGCACACAATCAATGAAAGACCCAGAAAGGGATAGGTCTGGGTCCTGCAGGCCCACGATAGAGGGAGGCTGGGTTGAATGGTTCCCCACAGCCCACCCTCCAGGGTCAGCAAGGCAGGGGGTCTGACCCAGGATGAAGAGCATCTCCACAGCGATGTCACTGACAAGGGTGTGTCGTGAAGTGATGGGAGTGTCGTCATCGCCTGAGAAGCAGACGTTGTAGGGGACGGTGACCGCAACATAGAAGGTGGCAAGGAGGATGAGACCATCCCAGACAGCTTTGGGGACGCTGTAGTGGAGGAGGAGACAGCGGGATCCCCCCACGGAGGCCACCTTGTACTCAGGCACTGATGGCTTTGGCTCAAACACATTCTAAAGGGAGAGAGATGGCAGTTGGGGACTCTTAGGGGGAAAAAGAGCCAAGGCTGAGGGAAGGGAGGGGCAGGGGATGGGGGAAGGGCGATGGTGGGTATTTCAAGGGCAACCATGAGAGTCTGAGATAGAATGTGTGGAGAGAGATTCTGAGCCTAGCACCTGACATTTCCTTCTCTCTGTTAAGCTACTGCCCAGACCCCCTTTTTAACCAGTCATATTTTGTGGGGAGTATCTATAAGGATTGACTCTCACCCTACTTGAGAATGAGGTTATGACAAATCGGATGCAAGCCCTAGCTTAAAGGGTCACTAATTCTCCCTTAAATTCCTCCTGGGTTTTGGAGTCCTGGTGGGTGACGGGCATGTCCTGAGGGGAGGGGAGGCTAGCACCACGTACCACACTCCCTAGATCCTTAACAGACTATAGAGAGGAGACTCCATCCCCTGGCTTTATCAGGATCTTTGGAGGTGGTGCTCAGGGCAAGATGCCAGACCCACAAAAACGGGGGCTTTCTCCCTAGGACCACAGCAGCTTGTGATTTTAACCATTTCCCCACCCAGCCCACTGATATAACCTCATTGTTCAGGGTGAGATAATGTAATACTGCTAGAGCCTCATCCCTGTCATATCACTGGAGAAATGTCAGTCACCTAAGGAAGCAAGGAGGTGTGGGGGACTATGGGATGGAGCAGAGGGTAGTATAAGGGAAGTGGGTGGACAGAGGAATGAGCCAGTGGAGAGAGACTGCAGGCAGGGAAACAGGGAGACAGTAGCAAGGAATTAAGGCTGGATGACTTGGCAGATGTTGGATGGGGGGGACTCACATTATTGGCCTTGATGCTTCCCTGGCCCCGGCGACCAAAGTGACCAGTCAGTCGGTGTAGGACAGTCCGGTTCTGCCTCCTGGTGGACCGAAGTTTTGAGCTGGCTCCCCTCCGACCAAGGGAGTTTTCTGTTGGGAAGAAGGGCATGGAGATAGGTTGGGACACATCTCAGGATGCTGTGTGGGAGAGGTCTTATGTGACCTTAGGCAAGGACTTCATGCCTCCTGCCCAGGCTTGCAGTTACCATGATTACTGTCCCCATGGGCTCCTGGAGGGTCAAGTCCTGGGCCTCCACTTTGAGTGATGTCCTTGAAAGAAAAGAGGAACAGCACAACTTCCCCCATCTCATTCTTGATGGGCATCATGTCCAGGAGACACCAAAAGGCTGAGCCTGTGGGCATGGAGAGAGGGAGGGAGGAGTGAGTAGCCTCATGCCACATCTTTCTCCCTGGTCCCCCTTGTTTGCTGGACATAGTCAAAGGCCTTCTTTGGAAGGTTTACCTTCCTTTTGGGAGATGGAAGGGACCCCAGAGATTTTGTTGATTAATTTTTTTCATTTTCCAGATGGGGAAATAAAAGTCCAGAGAGGGTTAGGAATGCACTCAGTCCCATAGTCAGCTTGTAACAGTATGAGGAGCGCTCCTAGGCTTCTACTATGCCCAGTGCACTCTGGGTGAGGTCTGGGCAGGGCTACAGGGCTGGTTGGGCCTCTCACCATCCTTTCTGTAGAAGCAGATTTCAGCTCGGTGCTCCTGGTGGCCCTCCAGGGCTTTGTGCAACCGCTGTAGGGCTGGCTCACTGGTCTCTGGGCCATAGAGGAACCGGCAACTGCAGGTTTTCTGCATGACCTCAGTACGGCCGTAGCCTGTGAGTTCACAGAAGCCGTCGGAGCAGTAGACGATGGGAAAGCCTCGTGGACCCTGTGCGTTGGCCAGGAGGAAGTTGCTGTCTGTGGAAGGTAAAGGTCAAGGTAAGTCCAGGCCAGGAGAAGAACTAACTTCCGATGGGCCCCAAGTTGTAGCTAGGGGTCACTGAACCAGCTTCCTGGGCTTCCATGTGGTTCCTGATCCTCCTTTGGGATATTCTGAAATAAGGACAAGAGATAGATCAAAGGGATAAAAACTCAAGCCTAGAAATGAGGCAGGGATACTAGAAGGTTGGAGAAGAAATCCCAAGAGGCCATGTGGTCCATCCCCCTGCCTTCAAGCTGGTGAGGTGTGACTGTAGAAGGCAGCTTAGCATGGTGGGTAAGAGCATGGACTACAGTACACTTCCCTGCCACTTACTGACTGTGACCTGTGTTAATTACATTTCCTGTGCCTCAGTTTCCTTATCTGTAAAGTGGGACACAATGTACCTTCCTTGCATGGTTGTTGTGAGAGTTACATCAATTCATTTGGGGAGGACATGCCCTGGCATTTAGTAAGTGCTACTGTGAGAAGGTAAAATGATTCCCCCACATTCACTCAGCTTTGGAAGGACATCCATAGCCACCATCCTGTTATGCTATTATAGGGAGCAGGGCAAAGATTCTGATGACATCACACCCTTTTATTGTTAGGAAACCAAAAGGCAGAAATTTTCCAAACTCATAAATTTCCTTAGTGTGGGGGTAAGACAGTGATGAGAAGTGTCCTCATTCCTGTCTTCCAGGAAAGGTCCACTTTTAAGCATTCCTTTAGCTATTTTCAGGGGATCTGCCCCCACTGCTCAAAGTCAGACTGGGGAGGGCAATGAGAGTGGCATTTCAGCAACCTCCAGAAGCAGAACCTGAGCTGGCCCCCTCTTGCTCCAATGGGTGGGAGGTTGTGGGTCATCCAGGGACACAATCACTTGAGGGATGGGCCCTAAGACACAGCTAGTTCTGGGGCCTTAGGAAAGGTGACTTTCAGGGAGTGGGATGGCTGACGGGGACACTAAGGGTGCCTGGGAGGCACTGGGCCCTGGGCGCAGCCTTCTTCTTCCATCCCAGGGCCTGTTGCCTCGGTGATGGGCGCTATGGAAACAAGGAAGGTGTGTGTGGGGGGGGAGGCGGGTAGGGCACCGGCGGCTCGATTTCCGCCCTCGGGTACCGTTCCGCCACCCTCCCGATCCAGGTCAGGGTTCCCTAGGCGGGTAGGGGGAGATCTCTGGGCTTCAGAGTAGAGAGAGGGAATGGCGGGAGAAGAGGCCGGAAAGGAGTTGTGTGGCTGTCCAAGGTGCTGAACCTGGGACCCGAGCTCCGGTGGGCGAGCTGGGAGTTCCCTCCATCGCAAGGACCGCCCCCTCCCGCCTCATCCATCTTAAACACAGACGCCCCACGATTTGGAGGCGTGTGACCTTAATCCATGCTAGGTCCTGCCGAAGTCTGATCTTTTCACCTTTTTGTGGGGTAAAAGGGAGCTGGAATCGTCTAGGAGTCGTCCCTAGAACGCCCGGCCACTTCGTCTCACCTCCAGGTCTCAGATAACCCCCCATACACGCCTCCAAGCCCAGCTCTGCCCGGAAGTAGGTGATTCTCAAATCTTCTCTCAGTTTTGCCGCCTATAGAGCCTCTGGTGTCTCCAGTCACACCTCCTAACCTTGACCCTCCCATCTTCCCTGAGCTCTTGGCCCTTTCCCCTCCTCCCCTCAAAGGGCGCTCCGCTCCCCGTTTCTTCACCAGGCTTCAGGAGTCCCTCGACCCTTAACTCCATTCTCTCTCCTCGATTTCACCACATCCAGGAGACCTGACCTGGCCCTAAGGATACTTGGCCCCCAGCTTGAACCTCCAGCCGCAGCCTCCGCCCCACTCACGCGTGCCGTCAAAGCGGGTGGCGATGGTGTCCAGGAAGGTGTTTTGCGGGGCCAGCAACCCCTTCATGACCGGCATGGCCTCGGGGCGAGGGTTCGAGGCGCTGAGCGATCAGCGCGGCCGGGCCGGAGGGGGCGCGCTGCCGGCGGGACCTGGGCACCCCATGCGCCCGCCTGCCTCCGTCCCTCCCTCTCGCCGCCGCTGCCGCAGCAGCCGCCTCTCTGCTCTGAACCCAGTAGCTCTGAGCTTCGCTCGGCGCCGCCCCGGTCCCCCCACCTCCCTGCGGGTCAGGTTCTTTCCCCTGGGCTCGGCCCGCTCCCGCCACGTGCCCCACACGGGGAGGGGCCACCAGCGATACCAGCACCCCTCCTCCCAGAGGGGAGCGGCCCACGCGTGTCTCTCGGGGAAAGAATTGGAGACACGCCCACCGGGAGGGGAGGCCAGAAGTGGTGGGGCAGGGCTTGGTTAGCAGACACGCCCTCCTGCCATGGTGGCCACGCCCCCACGTGTGGTTCCCTGGCTGTTCCTGTGGCTCCACCCCATGGGTTTCCCCCGCGTGCTGCCCACGCTTTTGGTATCAGATACACAGTGCCGCCTGCCGGAGTTGGGATATTTCACAGCATTCCCCCTGTGCTCCAGTGTCAGATACCAAGGGTTAAGAGGCTAGTTTTGTGGATGGGAATACACAGGGGATGATTTGGAACCCCAACTCGTAGGAAGCGCAGGTAGCTCTTGCCTTCTGCCTCATCTTACGTAGGGCACCCTGGCAAGCTCTACTTCTGAGCACAGCAGGCTGAAATGAAAAGAGTTTTGGAGTCCGCCACATAGAATTCTAGATCTGGACACTATTTGTCTGACAGCCTTTCAGAGACTTGCTTTCCTCATCTGTAAAATGGAGCTCATAATTCTTACCTTATGCAATTATTGTGAGTATTTTGTAGCTTAATGTCTATCATTGGCACAAATGAGTGTCTTGAAGGGGGAGTGCCTCTTGTTCTCCCTCTTCTTACAGTCCTAATTTAACTCACTTTCCTCTGCTGCCTTTCAGGTGGAAGAGAATCTGGGAGGCAAGTTAGGGATAGCCAAAGGTAGTTTTGAAGTGTAGAACAGAGACACGGTTTGCAAATCTTCAAGAGTGCACAGGTGAAAATTCTTTTTTCTTTCTTTAATACCAGGGATTGAACATAGGGTCTATGCACACTCTAGGCAAGCACTCTATCACTGAACTACATCCCCAGCCCATGAATTAGAGTCTTTAATTTTCTCCAGGAGGACCCAGTATAGCCACAAGAGAAAATTAGAAAACCCAGACACAAAACTTTTTCACTACCTAAGCAGAAAATTATTGGGAAAGCAGAATTCTATAGCTGAGTGTGGTTGCTTCCTGGTTGCTTCCTGGGACAAAGCAGCTTAAGCCAGTAAAAATGGGAACCTGGATGAGCAGTTTAAATGCCTCCCTCCAGTCCCCTCTCTGGATTTAAGCTGGGCATCATCTGGGATGTTAGATTGCTAAAACGTATTACATATTTTTGTCTTTACTTTTGAATGTCATAATAGTTTCCTGGGCTGCCATAACAAGTTACCACAAAGCAGGTGGCTTAAACAATAGAAATCTATTGCTTCACCATTCTGGAGGCTAGATGTTGAACCAAGATCAAGGTGAAGGCAGGATTGATTTTCTCCAAAGGCTGTAAGGTAGAATCTGTTGCATGCCCCTCTCCTAGCTATTGGCAATCTTTGGTGTTACATAGCTTGTAGATGCATCACTCCAATCTCTACTTACATGTTAACCTGGATTCTTCCTGTGTGCATTTCTGTGTTCAAATTCTTCCCTTTTATAACACGACTTATACTGAATTGGAAGTTTACTCGATCCTAGTATGACCTCATATTAACTGATTACATCTGCAAGGAGCCCTGATTCCAAATACTGTCACATTCTGAATGCTAGGGGTTGGGACTTAAACATGTTAATTTGGGGAAACGGGCATCTTTGGCTAGAGTTGCAGAAAAACCTTGCCTCACCTCTGTTTAAAATCTTTTTATGACTTCCATTACTGCAGAATAAAGCTCAAAGCCTGATGATTTGTGAGGGCCTTCACAATCCAGGGTGCGCGAACTTATCCACCTCCCTTTTGATCTGTCACTGCTTTTCACACTCTATCCCGCCCAGCAGCCACTCTGGAAGATTCATTGTTGAAGCTCATATGCCTTCCCTTTGGGGCAGATTGAGTCCCACAAGTTCCATCTGGATTCCAGACCATTCCATCTGGATTCTGTTCTCCTGTGCAGCCTTCTTGCTCTCCCACCCCTCCTGGATGTCTCTCCTAGGAGCTGCTTCCCAGGTCCTCTTTTTTTTTTTTTTTTTTTTTTTTTTTAGTTGTAGATGGACACAATGTCTTTATTTTATTTATTTATTTATTTTTATGTGGTGTTGAAGATGGAACCAGTGCCTAATAAGTGCCAGGCAAGCGCTCTGCCACTAAGCCACAATCTCAGCCCCCCACCCCTTTGTCTTTAATCTCCCGCCCCCTGGAAGGCTGGACGTGACACAGAGGAACAGAGACCAGTCACATGAACAGACTCGTCTTTATTGCCGTTTCTCTAGAGGCTGACATTGGAGAACAGAGGGGAAAGGGTGGGACCAGGACAGGGACTGAAGAAGGGCTCAGACTCCAGACGGTCCCCTGGGAGCGGTAGCTGCGGCGACTGAGGCAGGACAGCGGCGCTCGGGACAGGGAGGCAGCGCTGGCTCTGCGCTTGCGCGGCGGCCCATGGTCAAGATGCCCGCTGCGTGGTTGCCGCTGGCCTGCAGGAGGCGCTGCAGCCGGCCCTGGAGGCCCGGGGGCCCTGGCCGTCGCTTGCCCAGCGTGAGGATGCCGGCTGCGTGATTCCCAGCGCCGTGCAGCAGCTCGTAGAGACGGCAGGAGCAAGTCTTCTGGCGACAGCAGTCGGGCAGAGGCTGAGCGACCGCCCCAGGCGACAGCAGCGCGGGTGGCAGCAGCAGCAGTAGAACTAGAGACACAGCGGCCCAAGAGACCTGGGGAGGTGGAGACAGGGTGCTGAGGGTCTTCTCTCCAGGTCCACAATCACACCTCACACCCAGACCCTACACTGCTTGATTTGCGTCTGCTCCTGACCTGTGCTGATTCCTGTGTTATCCCTTAGTTTTCCTGTCAATGTGCCCTTGCTGTCTAAACTGGCTCTTTTGCCAGCTCATCCTGAGAAAACCAGGATGATGAGCATTTCCTCGGGAGCCGGCCTGGTCAGAATGAATCTCCAAAGTTTACCACCTGAAGACAGGCACAAGAAGTCTGCACAAGAAGTTGGATACTTGGAGAAAACAGAGGCCCTATTTAGTGTCCCCTCCCCCAACACACACATTTTGCCCCAAGGTCAACATGTGGAAATTGGGACAGGCAGGACTCCAAGCTGTTGTCTCCTCTGCCTGCTCCCTTACAGGAGAAATTGACCACCATGGCATTGAACCAGCTTCCCACCGTCTTCAGACAAGGTTTCCTCACTTGTAAACTGGATAGTAGATAATCCCTACTATTCAGGGCTGCTGGGGGGAATGACAAGATGACAGGTGTAAACCCAGCACCTGACATATAGTAGATGGTCAATAAACATGAGCTTTTAAGAAACAGAAAATGACCCAGTGACAACTTAGGCAGATTTACTTCTAAGAATCTAAGAAGAGTCTCTGCCCCCATAGGAAAGATCAACAGTGGAGACACTGTTGGTCTTGACAGCTTTCTTGTCATCCTACAGCCCTTTGAGCAAGCACTTTCCTAGCCTCCCTGGTCCCTGGGTCTTTACCTTTGTGGAGGGAAGGTTCATGGTGTCTGGAGCTCTCGGTGGGGTCTTCTGGAAAGGAGGTGTCTGCAGTGCAGTGGTCCAAGTAGCCAGGAATCTTGAGGCTGTCAACTGCAACCTGCTACCAGGGGCATGGGGTTTATAGTGCTCCGAGGTGGCAGGCAAGGGATGAGTACTTGCGTCCACTCTGGAGCTAGACAAAGGCGAATCTAAGATTAGCATCGGGCAGGGGGGCCGTCTCCAGGCTGGGCCCAAGGAATGGCCCCTGAGGCGTGCATTCAGAGGCCAGTGCTGGATCACTGTGCCACTGGTCTCCCTCTTGCCTGTCTGCCTGCTCCCTGGAGATGGGGTGGTCTCCGGGCACTAATTAGGCCACCTTGCACCCAGGAATCTGAGTGCACAAAAGAGGCCTTGGCTGGGGTGCTGGCCTGGGACAATGGGGGAGGGGGCGGCTGCTAATTAAGGGTTGGAGAAGAGGCAGTGGTGAGACCCACTATCCACCGTGTGTTGGGGGAGTGCAGTCACAGCAGACTTCTCCCCGCATTACTTCGTGTCACTGGGATCTGTCAGGCTCCAGGGCCTTCTTCCTCCATGGAAACGGTTCCTGAGCTGTCCCTTCCCTCCCCACCAGCTCTCTTTCCCTTCTGCCCCTTCCACCAGCCTCCGCAATGGAAAACCTTGGAGACTTATGGTGGGCAGTGGGAGGAAAGGAAGCCAAGTCTAGTTTCTGCCAGAAGCTGGTAGAAAGCTTCTTCCTCCCCTGCTGTCTTCTGGGCCAGGCAGCCCAGAGGGGAGGGATGTTGTCCCACTCCTCCATCTCCAGGGATGAGCCCCCGTGGGCTGAAGGGTGTGACCACCTCCAGGCCCAAGCTTCTCTCATTCAGAGCACTGTTATTGAGCTTCTGCTCTGGGCTGGGCCCTATGTGGACAAGAAACAACTGTGTGCCTAGGACATGACCGTGTTTTTAAGGAGTGTATAAGTCCAGGTGGGATATCAGTCTGGGCATAAGGAAAATTCCACAGAAGGAAGGACTACTGCAGATGTCAGTAAAGTTGGGCCAATTCCTTCCACCTGGGTGGGGTAGGGGTCCTTGAAGGCCTTGAATGAAAAACAGATTTCCTTCAGGTAGGTTGGGGGAGAAGGGACGATGTGAGCAAATACCTGGAGGTGACAGTGCTTCCCCCACATGGGATGTGGATGGGCTGGTCCTCACCCTCCAGGCTTTCTCTTGAGCAAGGGGAGAAAGGTGGCTGGACAAGTAAGAGCCTGGGTCAAGGGTCTTACAGCCAAGTTGATTGGTATTCCATCTATGGGTGAAAGGGAGCCACCAAGGGAGGATTTATCAGGAGTCATGGGATAATGTGGGGGCTGGTTGGGTAGGAGGAGGGCCTGCCTCTAGGATCATGGGATTGAGAAGCAATTCAGAGGCCGAATTAGAAGCTGGATGGCTGATCCAGAGCAGTGGTGCTCTTCTTGAGGAGGCGCTGCAGGGCCTGGGGTAAGTCTCACAGCCTCAAGAGGCTGTTTCCCCATTGCTATGGCACTTAACCCAGATGACTCTGGGGTCGCCTCCTACAGTGATACTTTGTGATTTGAATTATAACTCCCCCTTGCCCACCATGAAAGTGATTTGTGGGTGCTGGGTCAGGAAAGGGACTGGTGCTAAGGCATGGTAGGGGAAGTTGGGAACCATTCCTCCACCTTTAGGTTGGGGTAGTGGCAACAGGCAGGGCAAAAGAGGGCTCCATATCTGCTAGGTTGTCCTAGCCCCTGGTGGGAGTCCCTGAAGGATCCTGTGTCACACACTCTTGGGGCCTAATCCAGTCTAGAGCAAAGAGTAGGGGGAAACCCTAGAGCTCAGAACAGAAAGGTGACCCACTGCAAAGCAGCTAGCAGGCTGTAGTAGGAGCAGCATGAAGGGACCCTATACAGTTTCCCCAAAGCAGACCAGAGTCAAGAATCTGGGTGCAAATGGTTTATTTGGGAGAAAATCCAGGAAATACAATGAGGGAACAGGGAAGAAGAAGAACTGATAGCAGAAACATCAGTGAATGGGTTATTGCTGTAAAGGACAGGGACACCACCTGGAAGGTGAACCCCAAGAGATAAAAATTGTCCCACTTAGGAACAATGGTGCTGAGGTCTTTATTCATCAACTCCTGTTACTCCTGGGGCCATGACCCCATCCCCCTACCTTCAGCCCACCCAGTGCACTAGTCAGGGCCAGGGCTATAGCCAGAGAGCACTGTCAAGCTGGGACACAGGAAGCACTGAAGTGTCCTTTGGCGGGGCCCAGAGGAATATGGGCAGGGATCTCTGCTATACCCTTCAAACCTTCACTTCAGAGCTGGCCAACTAGGCGAAGGTCTTTCTAAGGCCCAGCAGCTCTGAAAAGCCGATGGCAGGTGAAGGTCTCTGATCAAGAACTCCCCATGCAGGGAGACCCCAGAGGAAAGAGCAAGGCGACCTCCAAGAACAGCCAGGCAGTATAGGTGGGCCTCGGTTAGGACACCACCCTCCTCTGCAGGAACTGGGCCAGATGCCTGTGCCTAAGGACCCGGGGCATCTCAGGAGGGAAGGAGGACGAGGGGCAGGCAGCAAGCTTTGTCCGGAGCGCTCTGAAGGCCCCCTTCCCCACCAGGTGGACTCTGGCAGGGCCCACACTGCCCCGGAACCGCAGGGACTTGTAGCGAGGGGAGGCTTCCTGAAGACAGTGGTCAAGCTGGGGGCAGAACGGCCTGAGTGAGGCTGATGCGTGGTCGCAAGGGTGTGTATAAGATGTGCATGACTGCACCTGGCATGTGTGTGTGAGTTTAGTGTGTGCCAAGAGGGTTGTGGACCCATCTCTCCCTCCCCAGAGCTCCAGAAAGGAATTTCTCCTCCCCTACCACCCTCTCTCCATCATCCCCTGTCTCCATGGCACCCTGGGGCCATGCAGTCAGACCCCATCCCTGTCTCTTTTACCTTGTCTCGATTCTCCTCCGACAGATTCCTTAGCCCCCTCAGCTCCACAAACACCTCATAGTGTGGAGCAGAGCCCTCAGAGGAATCTGTGGACAAACCCCGCATGCACACACACTTCCTGAGAATAGGGCGCTTCCAAAGCCAACGCCCTCTGCTCCATCTGTTCTTTCACATTCTGAGGTTCATGGGGGATAAGAGAATTTCTTGGGTAGGGAATTGAGGGGAACCTAGAGCCTAACTATAAATAGAGGACAGACCAGGAAAGAAAATGGGTGGAAACTACAGCAGGAAGAACGGGAGTTAGATATGGAGAGGGACTTTTGTTAGGCATGGCAAAGGAAGCTGAGTCTTATCTCCTTCTTAGAAGTCTCCTAGCACTGTAGGTATGGATTGGGGGGACAGCCAACTCAAGAATGGGAGGCAGTAGCGAGTGGAGACACTTACCCAGAATGCTGCTCTCCACACAGATATGGTCCAACAGCTTGGCTCCTGGCCACTGGCCCACAGCCTGGCCCAGGGCCTCAGAGAACACATTCTCTCCAGTAACTTCTCCTCTAACACTCAGGGCCTGGCCCAGCCTGGGGAGGAGGAAGCATGAGGCAGTAGAGCCCAGGGCACAGGGACAACCCCTCAGCACTCCTGGGCTCACCTACCTGTAGACGAATCTGACGATCGGACACTGATTATAGGCACCAACCACTTGTACCACATCACCCAGGCGGCACCTGATGGGGTGGGATTGGGAGGGAGGGTGAGCTCAAGGCCCTGTCCCCAGCAGAGTGCTAATGAGGGCATCAGAGAGCCTGAGGCTGCAGCAGCTGGGCAGGTGGTCACCTGGCAAGCCTGACGTGGTCAGTCAGCACCAGCTCATACTCCTTGTCCCTTTGGGCCTCAGCCAGAAGGAGGGTAGATGGGGCCTCCTCTTGGGCTCCTTCCAGGACTGGAAGCAGCTCAATAAAAGGGAGTCCAGGGGGAAGCAGGTAGAGCCCCTGGGGCTGTTCTGGCCATAGGTTTAGGCCCACCACCCCTGTGGGGAGCAAGAGCAGCTTTCTTGTCATCTGGTGGGGCCTCACCCTGGGACCCAGGCCCTGACCCTCTGAGCCGCTAACCTTCCACCCCTCATTCCTGTCTCTCTGGGGCTCAGGCTGCTGCCTTTAGGCCCCAACTAGAAGAGGCAGCGTGTGCAGCGGCTCCGCAGGCAGCTGAGCTGGAGCACGTATTGGTGCTTGCAAGAACCTGCCTGGGGAGCCTTAGTGCTTCCATCAGATAGATGGAGCTGCTGAGCCCCGCTCCACAGGGTGCTGGGGAGGATTAAAAAGATGAGCATGTGGGGCTCATACATGGCAGCTAGCTGCGTGGCCTCTGCCCCGACCCCACCTCACTGCCCTTGCGTCCAGCTGACCTCCAGAAGCAGCGTAAGCAGGAGAGAAGAAGGCCAGCCCTTGGCACCACAAGGCCCCAAGGGCAGCCACAGCCTCAGCCTGGCCTCCTGCGTCCAGAGTCACCACCACCTGCAGCTTTGGCCAGAGCCGAAGGGCCAGTCCTCGGGGTCCCTGCTCTAGAGCCTCCTGTAGCTCAGCTGCCCGACCGGGAAGAGGCACTCCTGAGGTCCCAGCAGCTATGGCCTCAGCCAGCTCTTCACCATCAGCCTCCAGGGCCAAGAAGACGTCCAGGAGTTCCACGGCTGTTCTGGCCTCCAGTGCCTTCAGCCCTGGGGACCTCAGTGCTTCCAGCAGCAGGGCCCCAGGGTCCTTGGTTCCAGGGGGGCTCACCTGGTCCAGGATATGCCCAGGCCAGGGGAGGGGGCTGGGCCATGGGGACGTAGGAGTCACACGGGCAGTGCCTCCTGGAGCCAGCACTTCTGGGTAGGCCTTATTTAGGGCTACCAGACCCAGCAAAGTGGCCTGGAGGGAGAGGAAAGAGGCTGTCAGCCCGGCCACAGGGCCAGACCCGGAGCCACCAGTTTGGGCATTCTTTGCTTATCAAAATGGGAGGCTTTGGCTGTAAGTAGGGGTTTCTGTGGGGTGGGCTCTGGCCATCCCAGTTTACCTGCAGAGAGGCCTCCCCATGGTACTGGTTTGAAGTAGGGGGCAGGAGCTGCCCCCCATTTTCTTCCTCCTGAGCCTGGCTGACTTTGGTCAAAGGGAGATGATTCCGGAAGATGCTCATATCTATACCTCCAAAGACATCAGAAACTCCTCAGGAAGCCACAGTTTCCCAAGAATTTCAAGAAAAATTGTTGAGACCCAGGAATAGGTTTGGGGAGAGGACCTACATATAAGGCCCCAGATGGGAAAACCCATCCTGAACAAGAAAGCCAATCCTAGGGCCTGGTTAGGTCTCCAGGCCAGGCCACAGGCAGCGTGTTGGAGGCAGGGGAGGGGGCTTCAGGTTCTGTAATGTGACTATCCTGTGGGGTTTCTTTCTATTTAGGTCACCTCCCCAGACCCTGTGAAACACACCTGTGGGGGCACAGAGAGGACCCTGGGCTCTCTGCAGACACCACATCAGGGCCTGCTGCTGGCTCTGGCCCACGTGTAGTGTATTATGTTCCAGTCTCTGCTGCTGCCAGGTGGCTGCCCAGCTCAGGACCCTCCATGCTACACAGTGCTGGAGGCTGGCAAGCCAGGACAGGCCAGCCTCCTGAAACCTCTGTCCTAGCATGGCCAATGGGGGCAGCAGCAGCAGCAGGAACAGCAGGACGAGCAGGAACAGCGGTGGCAGCAGCAGCAGCAGCAGCAGCCATAGCAGCATCTCCAAGCAGCTCCTGGGAGGAGAAAGGAGGTCAAGTATGGGGGCATGAGGAGAGACCCATTCCTTCCCCATGTTGCTACTGCACAAAGGAAAGTCCAGGGAAAAGGAAGTTTGGAAAGAAGCCAGGACCGGGTCCAGCAGGTGATGCAGACAGACCACCAAGGCTTTGGAGTTTCACTGACCTGAGTTCAGATCCTGCCTCTGGCGCTTGCTAGCTGTGGGGCCCTGGGGAATCCAGCTAGCTGCTCTGAGCTCACCTCCTTGTCTGTACGGGGGTGGGGGTGAGGGGGGAGAATAATGTCTCCCTCAGAAGGGACAGAGAGGGCTGGCCACAGGGCCTGGCACATCATGGCTGCATAGAGTGGCTTTGCTTTCTCTTGGGATCCTCCCTGTCCCAGCTCCATGTCCCTCTTGAGCCCTGGGTAGTGGTCCACACCCAGGTGTACCTGTCACAGCTCACTTCTGCCTACTGCTAGCACCCGGGCCCCTCAGTGCCTCCAGCTAGACACACATCCGGCTAGAAGGACGGCGCTGTGGCTTTAAAGGGCTGGGCCCTGATGAGGAAATCCGCCCAAGCAGGGAGGAGTGGGGGGGGTGCTCTTAAAGGGACAGGTCACCTAAGAGCCGGTTGGGAGCTGGCTCAGGCTGGCTGACCAGGGAGTTGGGGCCAGAGTAGCATGATCCTCAAATTTGTTGGGGCAAAGGAAGAGAAAGCTGAGTGTGGAAAAGAACGCTATTAAACAGCTTGAGCTGTGAGTGAGGCACGCTCCATCCGGGAGCAGGTTCAAACTTGAGAACTGTGAAAAACCCAAATCTTCTCCCAATGCAGAAATCCTCTCCAAAAAAAATAGTCAAGACAGAAAACACTTTTATTATTGAATAAGCATTAAGCCAGAATGTGATGTGTGTCATAGGCAATCTGTGAAGAAATTGCCAAGACCGAAGGAATTCTCATCCTTTTCTATTGACAAGTGGGTACAATTGATTACACACATTCTGAGAGAAACAACTAGTCCTTAAATAAGACAACTTGACAGCACTATTGGTTACATTGGTTCATCCAGACTTTCCCTGGAAATTGGAGTTGTGTTGGCTTATTGGCTTTATCTCAAGGAAAAACAAACTTCCTATATCATTATGATAGGAGGTAATTTTTCAACTTGGAGCAAGGCATTCACAAAAGTGGAGCTCCTACACTCCCGAGTTCAGGTAGGAGAAGCAGAATGCCCTTCCGATTATGTTAAACCCTCCCTCCACTTGTATTACTGTCTTAGACCCTCAAAATACCCTGCTTCCAACCCTTCACCTCCAGGTTGCTGAGAATCCCAGTTTTCTTCCCTGTTGAGTCTCTTTATTTTTTATTTTTTGGTACCAGGGATTGAATCTGGGGGTGCTTAACCACTGAGTCACATCCCCAGCACTTTTAAATTTATTTTTTAAATTTTGAGACAGAGTCACGCTAAGTTGTTTAGGGCCTCTTTAATGGCTGAGATTGACTTCGAACTTGTGATCCTCCTGCCTCAGGCTCTGGAGTTCCTGGGTTTGCAGGGCGTGTGCCTCCACCCAGCTGGCTGAGTCTCTTTAAACAGATCTGCTCTCACCCTCTGGCAGCCCCACCTCACTTTTGCTCATTTTTTTCCCCTTGCTTTTGCTTTCGTTTTTTTTTTTTAAACAGCAGTTTTATTAGATATAATCTAGAGACCTATGAATCACCCATTTGGTGTACAATTCAATTCCAGTATATCCACAGATAAATGTGCAGCTATCACAACATTTTTTTGGGTGTGTGTGGTACTGGTGAAGCCAGAATTAGACAGGCAGTTAGTATAGATAGGTAAATTGAGTCAGGTCAGATCAAGGAGGCCAATTTTGAGTGAGTTGGGGGAGTTGGAGACTGTCCCCTGAGGGTCTGAAGTGTTAATTCCTTCAGAGCCCTTCCTCCACCCTTATCAAGAACCTCTCACTGCTCCCACCTGTTGCTAAGGTAACCTGTCCCAGGAATTGCCCTTCCCTACAGGGAGATATAAAGTTGATAATTAATTTGTCCTGGGGCTGCACCATCCTGTCCTTCCCCCTTCAGCCCACCTGTTTCCCACCTTTTAGCCACCCCACCAAGCATTCCTGGGCCTAGTCACTACTCAGGAAGGAGGAAGATAAGGGGAAGAGGGCAGGAGAACAAAGGAAGTGTTAGACCAGGACGCAAGAAAAGACCACTGACTCCAATTAAAATCAAATTAAAGCAAGCTTATTATTTCCACCGGCCGGGCTGCTTCTCCCTCCCAAAACGGCGGGAACAAGACAGCCCCCCACCTTTCCTACAGCTCAGCTTTATAGCCCAGAAAGTTACACAAAGGGGGGTTACAGATAACAGAACTCTGACAAGCATCACACTAATGGTAGTTTACATTTTTTTTTTTTTTTGCTGGCCCCAACATCAGAATTTATGAGGACCATTAGAGCCTCAGAGAGGGTCGTTGTCTGGCCAGGGAAGGCCAATATTTATGAGGTGTCACTAAAGTTTCAGAGAGGGCTGCTATCTGGTCAGAGAGTCAGGCATGGGTGAGTTCAAGGCACGGGCAGGCATTCCAAGCAGGTTCAGAATTTGCAGTAATTTATAGTAAAGCCGAAATTATCTTTTCATGGCTTTGTGGCAAGATGGCTCCCAATTTTAATAAAAGATCAGGTTGGGTCTATCAGAAGCCTGGGACATATAAAAAGGTCAGAACACCTGGCTTCTTGGGATACCAGGATACCAGCGATGGCCCCCTTCTCTCTCCCAGGAGAAGTCTATGTTACCCCTTTCTAAATAAACCCTGCTTTCTATGCTTGCCTCGGTGTGCTTCTCTAGGGTTCAGACTTCAACATTTGAGGGAGCCGAACTCAGTCACCAATAACCAGCAGTATCACTGGGGATCGAACCCAGAGACCCTCTACCACTGAGCCACACCCCAGGTCTTGCTGTGCTATCCAGGCTTGTGATCTTCCTGTCTCAGTGTCCTAAATCGCTGGGATTACAGGCATATGCCACCATGCTGGGCCAGTCAATTTTATAATATTTTCATCATCTCAAAAACAAGCCCTTGGGGCTGGAGTTGTGGCTCCGTGGTAGAGCACTTGGCTAGCACAGGAGAGGCACTGGGTTCTATTCTCAGCACTGCATATAAATAAGTAAAATAAAGGTCCACCAACATCTAAAACAATTTTAAAACCCTTTACCTTTTTTGGGGGAGAGGGGTATTAAAATTGAAGCCAGAATTAGGCAGATAGGCAAGGGTCAGACCCAGAGAATGAAGGAATTGAATGTTAATTCCTTCAGAGCCCTTTCTTTGGCCCTTATCAAGCTAACTGGCCCCTGCTCCAATCTGTTGCTAAGGTAACCTGTCCCAGGGATTGTCCATCCCTAGAAAGAGTTGTTAATCACACCCCCTTCCTGCCCCCTTCTTTCCTGGATCACTCCTCCTCCGCCACTCCAGCCCACCTGTTTCCCACCTTTTGGCCATCCCACTCAGCACCTCCTGGGCCTAGTTACATAAGCAGGAAGGAGAGAGATAGGGGTAGAGAACAGAGCAGGAGAACAAAGGAAGCCAAGGACATATAAAAAGGCAGAACACCTTCACTTCTTGGGATACCGGAATACCAACTATGGCCCCCTTCTCCCACCAGGGAGAAGTCTATGTTACCTCCTTTTAAATAAACCCTGCTTTATATGCTTGCCTCAGCATACTTCTCTAATGTTATACTTCACTTCATGTGAGGGAGCAGAACTGATAACCAGCAGAATCAAACTCAGGGACACTCCACTGAGCCACATCCCCAGCCATATTTTGTATTTTATTTAGAGACAGGGTCTCACTGAGTTGCTTAGCACCTCGCTGTTGCCGAGGCTGTCTTTGAACTCGTGATCCTCCTGTCTCAGTCTCCTGAACCTCTAGGATTACAGGTATGTGCCACCACACCAGGCAAAACCCTGTACCTTTTAACTATCACTTCTCCCAACCTTCCTATCCTCTAACCAACCAAAAATCTATTTTCTGCTTCCATGGATTTGTCAATTCTGGGCATTTTATATAAGTGGAATCGTAATCCTATGTGATCTTTTGCATTTGACTTCTTTCACTTAACAGGATATTTTTAAGGTTCTTCTGGGTAGTACTGCCTATCAGTACTTCATTCCCTTTCATTGCGAACATTCCAGTTATGGATATTTATTTTGTTTATCCATTCGTCAGTGGGTGGACATTTGGATTGTTTCCATTCCTTGCCCGTGACATATAATGCTGCTATGCACGTCTGTGGACAAATTTTTCTGTGGATAAATGTTTTTGTTTTTCTTCTGTAGATACCTATGAACAGAATGGCTGGGTCACGTAGTAACTTTGTTTAACTGTTTAAGTAACTGCCAAACTGGTTTCCAAAGAGACTGTACCATTTTACATCCCTGCCAGCATTATATGAGGGTTCTGATTTCTCTACATTCTTGCCAACACTTGCTATTATCTAACTTTTGGATTATAGCCATCCTAATGGGTGTGAATTGGTGTCTCTGCAGTTTTTATTTGCATTTTACTGATACTGATGTTGTTTATCTTTTCATGGGTTTATGGCCTTTTTGTGTATCTTTTTTTTTTTTTGGTACCAGAGAGTGAACTTGGGGGTACTCGACCACTAAGCCACATACATCCCCATCCCTATTTTATATTTTATTTAAAGACAGGGTCTTACTGAGTTGCTTAGTGCCTTGCCATTAATGAGGCTGGCTTTGAACTTGTGATTCTCCCATCTCAGCCTCCCAAATTGCTGGGATTACAGGTGTGCCAGGTGTGAACCACCTTGCCCACCTCTATTTGTATATCTTTAGTAGAGAAATGTTTGTTCATATAATTTACTCACTTTTAAATTGAGCTATTTAGGGAGCAGGGAGTGAGAAGGTGGTAAGACAGGTTATAAAAAGAAGGATAGGTGTAATTAAAGGTGTAACAATATATGCATAAATGGAAATGTCACAGTGAAACCTATTAATTCGATAATTTGATTAATGAGTTCATATTTATGATAAAAATAAATTGGGTTGTCTTATTATGAAATTGTTAGACTTTTTACATATTTACATACAAATGTTCTATCACATATATGATTTGCAGATATTGGCTCCCATTCCGTGGGGTGTTTTTCATTTTCTTGCTAGTGTCCTTTGAAGCACAAGCATTTTTAATTTTGATGAAGTTGATGCTTTTCCCCTAGATCAGGAATATCACTCTCACCGCTTGTGTTCTTTTTCCTCGTCTTATTCCTGATCCTAGGAGAAAGCATCCAGTTTTTCATCATTATGATGTTATGCCAGGTGTGGTAATCCCAGCCAGTGGCTTGAAAGGCTGAGGCAGGAGGATCCCAAGTTCGATGCCAAACTCAACAATTTAGTGAGACCCTGGCTCTAAATATAAAAAGGGTTAGGGATAAGGATCAGTGGTTATGGTTTAGGTGTGTTGTCTCCCAAAACTCACATGTGAGACATGCAAGAAG